GAACAAGGGCAAGCCGTCCGTCTGAACAAAGTGCCGGATAACATAGGGAACTGGAAAACATAGGGAACTGGAAATATTATTGCGTTTTTGAATCACGTACCCGACTGCGGTTTCTGGCATCACGCCCAGCTGAGTACCCTCATTTTCCAAAAATAGATCCACGGCCGCATTTACATCCCAATTCATGGCCTGCCGAACAAAAAAGCAGCATCCAACAATACGCTTAATAGCTGAACCCTGTGGATACCAGCTTGTCCTACACGATGACAACAACAAGCACGCCTTCCCTTGCATCTGGTGACATCAACAATACAGGCAACCAAATGCATCCACAAATACACCGCAGATACTACTGGCGACAGCCGTGACATTAGTCATTTTTGTTCACGTGGAGCTCATTAAGACGCGCGCGCGCGCGCACACACACACACACACACATGCTACTAGTGAGAGCTGTAACATTCCTCATTTTTATTTATATGCAACTCAATAACACACAAAAAAAAACAAAAAAACAAAAAATCATACTGCTAACAGCTGTGACGTTACTCAGTTTTGTTCATCTGGAACCCATTAAATGCACACGCACGCACACACACACACACACACACACACACACACACACACACATGCTAAATATGCTGCTGGCGAGAGCTGTGACATTATTCATTTTTGTTTATATCGAGCTCATTAACACACACATACACACACACACACACACCGTGAAATCAATGAAAGTGGATGCTGATTACTGAGTCAGCACTGGATTCCGAAGGAGAGGAGGTTTACTAATTAGTGAAAGTGGAAACCGTGTGATGTATATGACATCTTGCACGGTTGGATAGGCAATTACACGACAACTGGCACTCTTTGGTGTGCACTTGGTAGATTGGGCGAGTGAACGTGCAATCTTCAATCGCCTGCAATGAAGCTTCAGGTCCAGTTCTTTTTACTGTGTGAACCAGCAATCACGCGCGTACCACTGGGGGACCATGCAGACAGGGACAGGGACCAACCACGTAGACGAGACTACTACTTTTGTTCCCATGGGCAGCTTTCGTAAAACTTCAACAGCTAAAAGAATGCACCTTGGACCCCACTATCCTCGGTCATTGCAGCGGTATTTGGTGCAACTTTCAGTCCAGATACGTCGATAATGACCGGGCGTTCTATTCGGGTGAAGACGGTAGTTTCATCCAGCTTCGAGCTTTGAGCTTCCCTTCCTCAGTTCTCCGGCTTCCCATTCCTCTCTCGCTTTCTTCCGTCTTCGCTTCCAACCATTCCGATAGCTTTTTTTTTCTACCTTTCGGTCCGCTTGCCCCAACAGACCCACCATCACCACCACCTCTTCCCTGTACTTCAGTTCGTTCTCATCATCTCTCGTTTTCGCTCTTTTCCGTTGATTTCACGACTTCCAAATGCCACTGAGTCCATTTGACGACTTCGACTTTTAGCCGTCCTTTTTCTCATTTCGTTAAGACTCGCCTTCCTTTTTTTCTGCCTCTGTCCCCTTGCCCCCTCTATCAAATTACACCATACCTCCAGACATAGATAACGGCCTTTGTGGAAATCGAATTTATTCAAATTCGCGTCGCTTTGTCGACCAGGAAATTGAATCCATATTGTTTCCATTCATCACGCAATCAAGTAATCACGTAAGTGAATCTAATAATCAACCGACTTTTGGATTAATGAATCAGGTGATATCATTTGACTACTCACTCAAGTGCTATCACTGGATCGATCAAGTGATCAATCATTCAATCATTCAATCATTCAATCAATCAATCAATCAAGTGATAAATCAATCAATCAAATGATCAATGCGTCAACCAATCAATCGATCACGAGTGATCAATCAATCGATAACTCGAGTGATCACTCAGTCAATCAATCAAGTGATCAATCAATCAATCAGTCAAGTCATTAATCAACAAGCCCTTGATAAGTGATTAATCACTAAGTCAAATGATCAGTTATGATCAATGAATTAGTCGGTCAATCACCGATCAAAACCGATGCGCTCGATTCAGATACCCTTCACCATCTTTACGACGGCCGAAGGAGGTCGGTCAGAACGTTTTGTCGGACTCCTCCCCTTAGGTTCGCGAACAGAGATTCCCTCGCCCGATCATTCATTCAATCAATCAATCAATTGATTCAATCAATCGATCAATCAATCAATCAATCAATCAATCAAACTAAGTGATCAATCAATCAATCAATCAAACTAACCTCGAAACGATCACAAAAACAACTTAGCCCATCAACAACTTCAGCGACCACCCTCCC